GCTGCCGCCCACGGCCCGGCCCAGCGGCGGCGGCGGCGCGGCGCGCGCGGGCGCAAGCCCGAGGGCCTGCTGCGGCCTGACTGGCGCGGGTCGTGCCGGCACGGGTGCGGGGGCCCCCGCCGTGGCCACGCCACCGCCGATGCCGCCGCTTCCCTCGGCCGCCTGATACGAAGCAGTGGCCCCAAATAAATCTTCATAGCTTGGAGGCGGCGGCAGGCTCGCGATCGGCGAGGCACTGTACGCAGGCGCCGCCGCCGCAACCGCGTAAGGCGGCGGCGGCGGCAGGCCCGCAGCTGCCGTGTAGCTGGGCGGCGCGCCCGTTGAGCCCGGCGCGCCAAAGGGATTGCTGACAGCGTGTGCAAAAGGGTCCTGGAAGGGCGCCACCGCCGCAGTAGCGGCGCCACGGCCGGGTGGCGCAGGCGGCGGCGCGCGCGCGGGCTTCAGGGACGCCAGCGCCTGGCCCTGCGGCGGCGCTGCGGGCTGCGGGGGCGGGTCATCCCCAAAGGGATCCCAGCCTCCCTGCGTGGCGTGGCTTTGCATCAGCGATGCTGTGGGATGTGATTTACTCGGCAACATAGCCTCACTCCCATGGCTTGACTCACCGCTTGGAACGGGTTTCTGCTCATGTATGCGCCGCTGCTCTGCAGCGAATATGCGCGGCGGCGCGCCTGCTGCCTTTTCAGGGTGGCAGCTGCTGCGACTGGCCTCCTCCGAGAGCTCGCTGTTCAATTAGTCAAAAGTTGTACGGAAATCGTCCATACAACACCGTTAGCGATTGAAGAGCTGAGCCTGGTTTGGTCGGTTGGTCCGGCTAATAAACATGATTCGTAGCTAATATGATTATTGTGACTAGTATCAAAGCAAACCTATCACGCCCAGCTTCGTTTGGCCCCCCAGCACTCTGCCACGGTGGAGGGCTTGTGGCGATGCTCTTGTTGAACCTGCACCCTCCAGTTGGCGGCCAGGTCAAGCTGCAGGTAGACCATCAACCTAGTTTGTTGCGGCGAGTGAATTGGCGATCTCCACCCAACAATGAGCTTACTTGCATCCCACATGCGTCCATTCACTGACCCACCCCGTGAGCAGCCAAGCTCACGTTGTCCCACAGGTTTGCTATGTGTCGTGTTTGACCCATGCGCAATGACGTTGACTGATTAGGCATACGGCACACAGCACCTATGTGCGATGCGTCAACCTTGTACTGTATGACTGATGCACTCGCTGTGTTCGTTTTTGATGAGCAGCCTGGCACTGATCGTCCAACAAGTGCAAGGCACATGTGCGGTGCCTTTGTGTTGGGCGACTGCCTCTCACACCTAACAGCTTATTTGAGGTTTCTGATGGCACAACATAAGCAACGCACCAATGTAATGTGAGCTCCTGCTGGCCAGCCCAGAATGTGACCAGTGCGCCCTTCCAGGGATGTAGTGAACGTAGCCTTTGCGTTTGTCCCTGTGCAGCCCGGTGGCCTGCTCAGCTTGAGATCATAACACTATTATCTGTCAAGAGAATGTACTATGAAAATAATGGTGGCAGTTCGTTTGTGGGTTGTCGCTCGCCAGCGAGCTCTGCTGGTCGTGCTGCACTAGCAGACTGTTGTCACCTGCATGTTGCCACTAGGGTTTCGAGCCGTTGCTGCGGACTGAACGTGGCATGTGACGGTTTTTACACTGGGTGAGACACTGCTAAGTGCGAGGACATGTGCCCTGCCCCTAACCACAGAAGCTGGGAGGTAGCCGCTGACGCCGTCGCCCGGCTCGACCCCGCCACCACCGCAGCCCGGCCACCAGAAAACACCAGTGATAGATTTCATTTACACTGTGCACTGGTAGGCGGCCTCTGTACGCTGATCACCGTTTGACCACCACACATCATTCGCCCGACTGTGCACGCCGCACATTGTTCAATAAACGCAGATGGCTAGCATGCAACGCATAGCCTCAGGTCGCTGTGGATCACCGATGCTCGCGGTGGCCAGAAATGGGAGGCCGACCTTGCCGCGGGGACGGGCTCGTAGCAGGATGGTCACATCTGCTCGTATGACTGCCAAGGAGGAGCTCCAGTGAGCGGGGTGCCCATGCAATGGGTGGGCTGGGCGGCTCCCAGCAGGTCGACTGGAGCAGTGCGTTCGCCGCCCAGGTGGCGGAATGCTGGCGATCCTGCAAGACCGCCAGTCTTGCTACGCATATCCCCCACCCTCTCAGACCCATGCAGTAGAAAAACATCACATCTAGTATTTGTTTGATGAGAAGTGTGCCTTCTCACACCCGCAAACCCCACCTGCGTAGACGCGCCTACCATAAAGCCCATGCCCCCCCCCCTTGTCCCGCCTACGCCCCTCGCCCATCCACCACCCTCGCGCCAACCCCTGCCCCCCAGGCGCCTTGAGGACGAGCGCGTCAACATGCGCGCCGAGGCCGAGGCGCCCTTCCGCACCCTGCGCCTCGTCATCTTCGGCTTCTCCGTCGCCAGCGCGGGCGTCGGCACGCTGATCTCGCTGCCGCAGCTGGCGGGGGCGCTCAACGGCGGCCGCAACGCGATGCAGGTTGATGACGTCCTCACAAACCTGGCGATCAACATAGGGGCCGTAACCATTTTCGCGTTCCTCTTCAGGCAGGACTGGAAGGTGGGCGGCGAGAGCGCTGCTGGTCAACCCCTTGTTTTTCAGGGGCGAGGGTGGGGGAGCGGGAGGAGGCCGTAGGCTGGATGGGCGCGGCTGGATGCGCGCGGCTGTGCGACAGCCAACCGACGGGGTCGTGGCACATGTGGCGGCTTGCGTAAGCTGCAGCCCGGGCAGGCAGCCAAGTCCCCGGCCCCGCGCACAGCCTGCCCGCCAGCCGTCTCCAACCGTGTTCACCCGCATTCGCTGCCCGCGCCGCCGCCGCCATGCGCTAGGCGCGGGAGAAGCAGCTCGTGAGGCTGGGGCGGGAGTCTGCGCTGGCGTCGCAGCGGGTGCTGCTGGCCAACGGCAAGCGCCGCACCCTGCGGGACCTGCAGGTGGGTCAATCATGCTGACCTGCTCCCCGCATTTGGACACGCCAAATCATTGCCGTGTGCACAGTTCAGGTCTGTTGCAGGTGGCCGCGGGGCATACGCAGCAGCTGTGAGCCAGCAGCTGTTTGTACAAAAGCAACACGCTTATGCGGCCGGCGGGCAAGTGGGCAGGCGCAGGCGGCGGCGAACTCTATTGGACAGGCCGTGGCACACTCAACGGGCTCGCCGAGCAGTTACCTGGAGGTTTCCAGCCTTGCTGATCGCTGCACCCCTGTCTCCATCGTCACGCAGGGCACGTCGCGGTGCGTGCTGCTGGCTGGCACGCCCTCCCAGGTGGCGGCCTCCCTGGCCGCGGCGGAGCCGTACCGGGAGCAGCTGCTGCAGCGCGGCGTCTTCATCGTCCCAGTCCCGATTTTTGACGAGCCGGCGAGCAGCAGCGGCAGCGGCGGCGACGAGCAGCAGGGGCAGCAGCAGCAGGCGGCGGCAACGATACCGCCGCTGGAGAGGGGCGACCTGAGGTGGCGGGGCGAGGCGCAGCAGCTTCAGGGGTACAAGCAGTGGTTCCAGGATCAGCTGTCGTTCTCGTCTTCGAAAGTGACGTCAGACACGGGTGCGGCGGCTCGTCACAAATTTTTCAGTCTATTGACTGAACTCGAAGTGATTTTCTGATGTACAAGATGTACAGTGCTGCTCAGGCACACCACGCACACGTTTTGCCGCCCTTCGCCCGAGCCCAAACACTACTGAGCGTTAGCTGCGCCCACCCCCACTGAATGTGCAGGACTCTACGTTGGCCTGCGGCTGGACGGCAGGGTCCGCGCGTCAGGTGCGGATGGCTCCCGCCCCGCGCAGCTCACACCCCAAGTGCCGACACCCCTGAACACATGCCGACACGCAGCGCTTAGCGCCATACCGCAATGCCCCTATGCCTCAACTTGCTAGGTCTCAGGCTTGCTTGCCTGCTTGGAGCACTGATGCATTCCTGAACACCTGCGGGCAACCCATACCTTGAACACCCGTCCACGCCCGCAGGCATGGGCGGCGCCCCCTGGGCGCGCATGGTCGCTGAGCTGGCGCCGCTCGAAGGGGAGAGCAAGTGGGCGGGCATGCTCGACGGTTTTGATGGCGACAGCGCCCCCAGGTGACACTGGGGTGACAGCCAACATGTGAACCAGCTCCAATTGTTGATGCGATCGCGACCAAACTGGCATCGCGCGTCCTTTGGCGTGCGCAGTATGTGCGGGCACTGCTGCCCTAATTTTGAAATCATAGAAGCCCAACTCGCGTTCTGGCCCAACCACTCGGCCCTGGCAAAGGGCAGCTGGTGTGTTTGCTCATGCAGCGTTTACAACGAAGCATGCTACGCGCTCAAGGCGGTGGGATGGCGCGCAAAACGGATGTCATTTCTCAGCCTGCGGGTCGCAGTAATTGATGGCGGCAGGGCACTTGAAATTCCACTGCGGCAGGGTGTGGCTTCGCGTGGCGGTTGGTTATAATTCGGTATCGACAAACAACACGCAACGCAGCAACAAAGCAGTCCAAAATGGACCAAACTGGAAGGGCTGAGCGGGGGCCGCAGGAGCGAGCGTGAAAACTGCTTGCGCAATCAAGCTGGATGGTGCAAGGAGACGTGCAAACCCTGGAGGAAAGCAGGCGCGCAGAAACCAACAGCCGCAACACAACCACATGCTTCATTAACAATCGTGGCGCAGCTGTCACTGCACAGGTGCCGCTCTCAATGGGTGCTGAAACAACCGTACTGCATGGAACACACACAGGCGCCAGCACAAGAGGGAAAATGCTGATGCCTCGCCCCACCGAAGAAGCACCAGGGTTCTCAAAATTTAGGGCATGGGTGGGGCACAGCGCGGGAGGAAGGCAGGGGCAACGATGGCACCACCCACCACAGGCCCTCACACGCCCCACCCGTTTATGATGGGATCCTTGACTCCTGCGCCCTGCAACAAAGCACTGCTCACGCCCGAATTCGTCTTTGGCAACTTTTCATCTTCTCTTAGCATCGAGGCAACGTGGCGCCAGCTGCCACAACGGCCGCACAAACCATGGCGGCGGGCGCTCTGCTCCATCCCCCGTGCGTCTGCTGCCGCGCCTCGCCTGGCTGTTGCATGCGCGGCCGTTTCTGTGACGACGTCATCACTTGGCGGCGACGCAGCCGGGCAGCTACGCCCCTAGCACGACGGAATAGGCCTTGTAAGCGATGTACAGCACACCCAGTAGCAGCGCCAGGCTGACGGCGTCCTGCATGGTGGAGTCCTCCTGGCGGAAGAACTGCAGATTCGGCCGTATTCAGGGAGTTTGGGGGCGCGTTGAGGGGCTGTTGTGGGGCTGTTCAAGTTGAGGACACTGCGTAGTTCCCAAGGTTTTTCGTACTGCACAGCAAGTTTAGACGCCAGCACATGGGAGACAGGGCGCACGCGCGCGCGCCCCAATAGCCCCTATTTGTCCCCCAAATGCTTGTGTTGTGTATAAAGCTCAGCCAGGGGCACAGCAACCACTGCAACGGTTTCGAACCAGCCGAGGCGCACCTTGGTGGGGTCTGTGGGGTCGCGGTAGAGCGTGTCCTCGTCCTGGGAACCCATGCTGCTGATAGAGTCCAGGGTGCTGTTCAGCCCCTCCTGGGCGTCCTTGCTGGCCTGGGGGCACACGGGCGGGCGCGACGGCGGGTTCGCCACGGCCTTATGGACTGGGTATAAGATAAACGCCCAGAACAAGCCTTGACATCGGCCTTGCTGCGGTGATCGTCTACCCAAGGAGCTGCCTCTGCGCAAAGGTTGAGGTGGGAGCAACACGAAACAAGCGGCCATGCATCCCCTCTCCCCCACAAAGCACACACCTGCTGCGCGCTCCAAGTGGCGCGCGCTGCCACCAGCGCTGCCGAGGCCGGGGCCCCCACGCCAGAGAGGTCCCAGGACTCCCTGGTCGCAACAGGATAAGAGACAAAGGGGTTGCTTGTTGTCGTCGGCAAATGCAGCGCCTGCAGCCCCGAAGCTCAGCGCAAGTGCAGGCATCCCCAGAGAGGGACGGCCAGCCGGTGTCTAGTACCACCGAGCGCATTACAATTTCTACTCAGCGGAAGGCGGCAGGTGGGCAGCAAGCAGCCCGACTCACTTGAGGTTGGTGACGCGTCCTGTGAGCTGGTTCATACCCAGAGTGGTCTTCACGGCCACCTGCACCCCAAACACGGCCACCTGACCCGTCAGCTGCCAGTCGATCTCCGCGGTGCTCTTGTCCAGCATGCGCATCTTCTTGATGGCCTGCACAGGTTGGCAGGTGGGCCGGCGCGGTTGTGCAGCATTCACAGCAGCAGTGTGCCTGAACCACTGCAGCTGCACGCACGTGGGTGCTGCTGCGATTGTGCTGCCGATCGAAGAGGCATGCCACTTCGAGAGGCAGCGCATGCGTGTGCGCTGGGTAGCGCAGGATTAGAACGGCATCCTTGAGGGCCGACGACACAGCACTGAACGGACACATCAGCCCGACCGCTCGAGCACGCGGTCGCCCCCAACACTGCCAAGCGCCAACGCTGCAGCGGCACAGCATGTTTGGCGACGCGCCAAGTTCTTAAACAAGATGAGGTTTGTCTTCAAGAGACCGGTGGCGCACTGCCTTTGAGAAAGCGTCGCAACCGCAGCTCACCCCCCCCAACTCGCCCCCGAAATCACCGTTGCCGTCATGCGGCGCTCACCACTTTGGGCTGCTTGACAACGTCCCGCATCCACACGCCGCGCCCCAGCTTGCCCGTGCCCTTGAATGACCGGAAGCCGTCTTCGTAAGAAAAGTCGGGCTGGAACGCGGCGCGAGTGTAGCTCAGCCGCTGCAGATCGCGCGCCAGCGTGCGCACGGTCTGCTCCACCGCCGGGCTTGATGTGCACTCAAAATCGTCGCCTGTTTCACAAGCAAGCCGCAAACAGGGGGGCTGTGAGGCTCGCCTGGTTGGCGAGGCGTCGGCACACAATTGAAACGTCTGGCCAGCAGGGGGTGGTGGCGCGCACTGTCAGCTGCAGGCCGCCACAGCGCGCGCCCCTGGGCAAGCGGCTCCGCGAGGGCTAGAACAATGAACCCACAATATTGCGTGTCGAGGTCATCTATTGTCATTGTTGCGAGGGTCTTGGGCGCCTGCTGCTGCTGCTGCTGCTGCGCCCTCGCTACAACTGATGGCCGTGCCGATCTCCCTTTCAGGGAGCAGGAATGCAGACTCCAAACATCACGGGGCGCTGCCGTGTGCTTGGTGCGGGCCTGCAGTGCCCCGCTGCTGAACGCACGCGACAGCATCTTCGATGCTGCACCAAAGCGGAGATGTATGGAGTCAGAACTACCGCAATTGACACAATGGGAGTGAGGGGCGGCGTGGAGGCGACGGCCAAAAGCCAAAATCAAGAAAGATCGCACTCCAGGCCGGGTGACATGCAACACTTGAGGTCCCAGGAGCTACCGTAGCTCCTGGGACCAATTAGGAGGCATGAAAAACGATGAGACTGTGACATACGGGTGATACTCATCCGAGGGCAAAGCAGAGTAGGCCAAAACCGCATGTGAATCGATGCAAATGCACTGGCGTTGTGCGCCCAGGTCCTGATTGCAATTACACAGGGCCAGTGCACAGGACGATGGTGTTGTGAGATGAGTGTGAACAGTACGACAACCTGGACAAGACCTGGCGCACAGTCTCTACGACGCTCTGAGTCAAGCACACGGTGTATGCGGTCAAAAGAGGCGACTGTTGAACTGTTGTGATGTGAAACCTACAAAACTGACTAATTGAAAGGTGTGCCTGTTCTGTTTTAGCTTGCCGGGTCAGCATCCAAGAATGTTGCACAAAAGATGATGATCGACTTGGAGCACCCTGGCCAAAGCCACAACCCTGTCGCCCTGTGCACAGATTTTCCAGCCGCAGGCCCTTCGATTGACATACAGAAGCCTTAGCAGCAAACCTTTCATGGCAGGGCAGCGCGGCTGGCCGGCGTCATGAGCAGCAGTTTGGGTACAGAATACCTTATCTGTGCGGGTGCAGACAAGGCAGGGCCGTTGGTGTGCATGCAGAGCCCGAGAGGCTACAAAAAATGACATGCTCATGCTCCATCAGTAGGTCGGGGTCTTTGCTGAGATTGCGGCACGTCAACTGCATGCATCGTCGTCCCACTGCTAGGGCACCTCCCCCCCGGTGTGCTCTACTGCACGCAGGTCATGAGTGCGGCTAGGCCTTTCCAGTGGCTGGTTTCGCCTGAAAGAAGGAATCTGCTGACATCGCCAAACGGCCACGATCATACCGTACCACAGCGTTTTGGCCTACACGACACGGCAGTAGTTTGCAACGGTACGATGACAATGCCGAGCCGCAGCACTTGCGAACATAATGTTTCGTTGAGTAAATCAATATTACTTCATATATTTCGGCGACGCTGTATTTGTCAGCGAGTTGGACATCATCAAGCTGACTGCAAAGCCTGTAATAGAGTGTTTTTGCTGTGTGTCGCATGGGGTGCTGTGAACACGTCCTTGCGGATCCCGAGCCGGCCGGCGGCGATGCGTCAGGCAGCGCTGGTGACGGCAGCGCCAGCAGCGGCGGCCGCGCCGGCACGCACGACGCATGGCACCTGCAGCGCATGGCTGCTGCGTGGGGCGTGACGTTGCCGCCGCTTGAGCAGCCGCAACGGTCAGCAAGCGGTGCCTGCGGCCACGCACACAGCGAAGGCGGCGAACACACCCATGTCCATCGGCATGCCTCGCATGCCACCTGCGGCGGCGGCGGCGCGAAGCTGCCCCTCACTCTCGTGTCCGGCCCGGCCGCGCGCCGCGCGGCCCTGCTGTCGCACCTGGCACTTCCGCCGACCTCTGAACCCCAGCACCAGGGGCAGGGGGAGGGGCAGCACGCACAGGGCGCGCAGCGCATCGCCGTCATTGTGGCTGACCCCGCGTGCCTCAACATCGACTCTGACCTGCGCCAGGCAGCCGGTGGCGCTGAGGTGTGCTGCCTGTGTTGACGCATGGATCGCCGTGCTCTTGATGCTGGTAGCAGCCTGCTTTGGTCTTTGGGCATCAGGCTGTGGCTGGGGTGAGGGGCGCAGCACATGCTGGCCTGCTGGGATATGCCGCCCCTCCTGACAACCAGCTGGCGGGCGCCGCACCCGCAGGGCGAGGCGGACGGCCTGATCCGGCTGGCCGGCGGCAGCGTGGCCTGCCCCGGCGCGCCCGCGGCGCTGCAGCAGGTGCGGCCCGACGCAGAGCGGCCGCGGCGCGCGCGGCGGACGCACGTCCTCGCCCCCGCACGACCATCGCGGCCGCGCCGTCGCCTGGCTCGCTGCCGCAATGCTGCTAGATCGGCTCCCGCGCGCTCGCCAAGCACTGCTGCGCGCTCCCCGCCCCGCGCCTGCGATGCAAGGCCGGTCCCTTTTCACCCCCTCCGTCGCCGCATGGCCCAACAGGTGGCTCGCATGGCTGCTGCGGGCGAGCTGGATGGCCTGGTGGTGGAGGTGCCCGGGGCCCAGGACCCCAGCCGCGCCGCGCAGGCGTTTGCGCCGCAGGACGGCGGCTGCGAGGACGAGGGCTGCTGCCCGGGCGACGAAGGGCCCAAGCACGATCACCCCCACAACCATGGCGGCGGAAGCAGCGGCGACGACGGCGACGCATCGGGGCAGCACGGGGAGGGACGCGGCGGCGGGCAGCACGAGGAGCGGTTTGAGGAGGGAGAAGAGGACGATGACGGCGGCCCCGCGGGCGCTTGGGTGTCGGCCGTGGCGCGCGCGCTGCGCGGCGTGGCCGCTCTGGACGCTTGCGTCACTGTGATGGGGGCCGCGGAGCTGCTGGGGGGCCTGCAGGGCCTGGAACTCGCATCCGCTGACGGCGCTGGCGGCAGCGCTGGCGGGGAGGTTGAAGGGGAGGACGGCTGCGAGGCGGTGGGGCCGCCGCGGCACGCGTCAGAGGTGGTCCTTGACCAGGTGCGCGGCGCTGCAGGCTGCGCGTCGCAAAGGGGCGCCAGAGCGCCTCTGTTTCTTAGTGTTTTCCTGGTCATGCGCACACTGGTCACCTCGTCGACAAGTGGATGCATGGCTCTCTGGCACGTTTGGTGCTGGTGACTGCTTCAGCTGATCCATCTTGGTGTACCTCAAACGCTGACGCTTGCTCTCCGCCGCGCGCCCCTTTGGTCCAGGTGGAGTTTGCTGATGTCATCGTGCTGGACACCAGTGACGTCACGCAGGACGCCGCGGGTGACAGCGTCGAGCAACATCTGGAGCAGGCTGAGGTGCGACCTGACACCGCTTCCGCTATGGCTCAGCTGGCGCTCATGCCGTATGAAATTGCAGGATCACCCCCTATTGCGGAGCTCGTGTGTCAAAAAAAGAAGGGCAGCATGCAGCCGTCCCAGCAGGAGCCACTGCGCCTCTTTTGCACGTTTGCCTCCCGCTTTAAACCTTGCTGCTGTTCATCCTCCTGCCGCGTCTCCTCTGGCACCGATTGTCCCAAACTTTAGGCCTTGCTGCGCGCCCTCAACCCGGGCGCCGACGTCATCGCCGCCCCCGGCGCACGCGCCCCGCGCGCGCGCCTGCTGTCGACCGGCCGCTTCGACTGGGAGCGCACGCAAAAGGGCGCCGGCTGGCTGCGCGCCCTGGAGGGCGCCGGCCGCACCGCCCCGCAGCAGCAGGCGCCAGCGGCGGCGGCGACTGGCGGGGGCTGCTGTTCCTTCGTGTACCGCGCGCGCTGGCCGTTCCACCCGGGGCGCCTGCACGACTTCTGCACCCGCTACTTTGTCCTGCGGGAGCGCGACTGGGGCGGCGACGATGGCGGCGGCGGCGGCGGCGGCGGCGGCGACGGGTCTGACGATGCAGAGGCCGAGGCCAGCGGCGGCGGAAGCGGCGCGCAAGAAGGGCTGCCCGCGGATGCGCGTCGCGGAGCGCGCGGCGCCGCGTTTGGCCGCGTTGTGCGTTCCAAGGGCTTCGCTTGGCTGGCGACGCGCGGGGACCACATGGGAGAATGGAGCCAGGCGGGGGATGTGCTCAGCTTCTCGACAGGTGCGTGCGCAGGGCGCCGCAGGGCGGGAGCCCACCCCCAACGCTACCCCCACCCTCCCTGCAACAGCTGCATGCTGACCAGGGACCTTGTAAGCGGCCGCGAGATGCTGGAACATCAACCCAACTGCACGCGCCTGACTGCGTCAACACCCTGATGACCGCCCTGACCTCTGCGCGCGCGGCCGCGCGCCCCGCATCCCGCCAGGTGGCCCCTGGTTCTGCGTGCTGCCGCGAGACTTCTGGCCCCAGGGGCCCGAGGAGCTGCAGCAAATTCTGGCGGATTTCGAGCCAGGGCTCGGGGACAGGCGGCAGGTGGGTAAATTTGTGCGCGTACTTGGGCGCTTGCGCACACATACGTTCGCGTGAGCGCACGTGTATTGGCTGGCGGGTGGACAGGGGCCGTGGGGGTTGAGTATGCGTGCACACGTGCTCATAATGTCAGTCTGGTGACGTGTCATCACTGATGCGAGTACAAACGACGCCAATCAGTCATTGGTGGGGTTGAGCTTCTGTTGCGCCATACCAGAAGCCGACTGCCGATCGTTCATGAATCTTAATCGCTGCCCACCACAACAGCCGTGCGCCGCGCCACCATGCCACCCACACACCTATGACGTCGACACACTTGCACTGACCCCCCCGTCTGCAGGAGATCGCATTCTTGGGGCTGGACATTGACGCCCCCGCCCTCGCGGCGGCGCTGGACTCGTGCCTCTGCACAGCCGAGGAGCTCGCGGCCGGCGCGGCGGCGCTCGCGGCCGCTGACGGGTTTGAGGCGTGGCCGGATATACGAGAGATGATAGACGACGGGGCTGACGAGGATGACGAGGATGCGGACGATGCTGACCTGGACAGTGAGGGGAGCGAGAATGATGATGATGATGATGATGT